CAGGTGAAAAGGAGGAACCCAGACCCAGACCAGTGGTCATTCCATATGTTGAGGGAGTATCAGAGAAACTGAGACGTTTATTTTCTAAACATAACGTCCCAGTGGCTTTTAAACCCCAAAATACATTAAAGACTGGTTCATCCCAAAGATCCAGTCCCCCGGCACAAACAGAGCAATGTTGTGTATGTTGTTCAGTGTCAGGAGGGTGATCAGTCTTACATCGGGGAAACAAAACAGCCACTGGCCAAAAGGATGGACCAGCACAGAAGATCAACATCATCAGGCCAGGACTCTGTGGTCTACACTCATCTCCAGGCCAGCGGTCACTCTTTCAGGGATGAAGATGTTCACATCCTGGACAGAGAGGAACGATGGTTTGAGAGAGGAGTAAAGGAGGCCATCTTTGTGAAAAGAAATCGTCCATCATTAAACAGGGGTGGAGCCTCCAGGTTCAACTGTCCCCCTCTTACTGCAGGTTGCAGTAAGAGGGGGACTGCATCTGCATTTAACTACATCCAGACAGATTTGTTTCGCCTCAAACTTGTCCTAAATGCCGAAAAAACCAAAGGGATGCTTTTTTCAAATAGGAAGTTGGTCCCAGCAGTTCTTCCTCCGATTTTATCCTCAAATGGTGTCCCCATTGAATTTGTTGATTCCTATAAATATTTGGGTATCTTGGTCGACTCACATCTTTCTTTTAAGCTCCATGTGGAAAACTTGGTAAAGAAACTGAAAGTTAAACTGGGTTTCTTTTTCAGAAACAGATCCTGTCTAACCCTGAATGCTAGGAAACGTCTTGTATCTGTGACTTTCCTTCCCTCCATTGATTACGGTGACATTATTTACATGAACGCTCCTACAAGAACCCTGCAGATGTTGGATGCTGCAGATGTTGGATGCTGCAGATGTTGGATGCTGTCTATCATGGTGCACTAAGATTCATAACTGGCTGTGATTATCGTACCCACCACTGCACCCTGTATTCACTGGTTAACTGGACATCATTAACTCCACACAGACTCTCTCACTGGTACATTTTCATCTTTAAATCACTTCCTGGTCTGCTGCCTTCATACATCTCCTCCTACATGTCTCTGCGTGAGTGCAGCTACAGCGTGCGCTCTCAGGACATTATTACCTGCAGTGTTCCCTCAGTGAGGACTGAACTAGACTAAAGGACCTTCTCCTACTCCGCTCCTGTTTCCTGGAATATCTTGTAAAAAGATTTGAAGCTCTCGACCTTGACCTCTCTAAGTGTCTTTAAGATTCTGTTGGACTCCTGGCAGGGACCAATGCAGACATGTTCCTGTTTTTAGTTTTTTACATTCGCCTTAGAATCTAGCTGTTTTTTTTTGTTTTGTTTTGTTACCTTTTTCCTTTTAGCCATCCTATTTGTTAAAAAAAAAAAAAAAAACTGTAGTATGAGTTTTTATAACTGCTTATTGTTGTCGCTGTTGTCCATTGTTGTCATCTTTCTTTGTTGAAATCAGGTCTCTCTTGTAAATGAGTCCTCGAGGCTCAATGGGATTTACCTGAAGAAATAAAGGTTGAATGATCTAACAATGCTGTGATTGCTAGTATCACTCAGCCCTCTGTGAATAGTAAACAGCCATCAGTGTGCTAATGATCCATTGTTAGTCTGATGGTCCTTCTTGAACATGTGATCAGCTGGTTTTGGTTGTCAGCAGCAAACTGGTTGATCCACTCTGAGAAGGTGCTATTTAAGAGACTGAGCTGAATACAGCACCTCAGACTGAGGAAGTCTCTTGGATGAGAGACGAAACGTTTCTACATTTTTTTTTTTTTTGAATGTCCAGAGGACCAGATTGAACTTTTTTGGACTTCGTGTAAAAAGTTGTTTTTCTCTGCAAAAAGAAGTTGAGAACTTGTTTACAGATTTTTTATTAAAAGCTATGTGTGACAAATGCTATGCTAAAGAGCTCAAACCACACAGAGCATCCGTCATTATGAAAACCAAACAAAAGGAAGGAGGGACAGCCCACGTCACGTCAAGGGGCCTCCTTCCCATTTTTCTTAGACTCGCTGCTCACTCCCTCACTATCCATCTTTCAGTTCAAACAGTCTTATACTGCCACCTGGTGGTCAACAAAATGTACTACACTCAAAACAAATTAACAAACATTTCTTCTTAAATTTGACAATTACTAACTATTGTTAAATCTCAAACAATATTATCGTTTATCGCAATAATTTCTGAGACAATTAATCGTCCAGCAAAATTTATTATCGTGACAGGTCTACTATTCCTACTTGGCAGTTTTTCACTTATCGTTGGGGGGCATGGCCTCTAAACCCGTGATAAACAAGGGCCTACTGTATCATGAAAATAATTCCACACTGAAAAAGTTATTCATCCTGCGTTAAAAAAGCAAGAAAGTAACTTTAAGTTTGTCTGTTCCTGCTTTTTCAATTAACTTTATTGAGATGTCAATGAACATGCAGATTTTTTTCTCTCCAGTGGATGCATCAGAGCTTCCCCCTCTCATACTTGTTGCAGACCTGTTCTTACAAAATTCACCTAAAATTCTAAACTTTTGTTTTTCTCCTTAAAAAATCAATAATACTGACTACTGTACACATTTACCAATTGCAGGGGTCTGCAACCTTTACGATCAAAAGAGCCATTCTGCCCCTTTGTTCACTAAATTAAGTGTGGAGCCACAACAATCTACAACTGTGATCATCAACTGGAGGCCCGTAGACCTCTAAAGACCTTTATCCACAGCTCCTATTAGATCAGTGCTTCTCAATTATTTTCTGTTACGCCCCCCCAGGAAGAAGTAAACATTTTGTGCCCCCCCAACTCTCCGCTGCGACTGTAAATAGTGTAATTTGTCTATAAAATTGTTATAAGTACACCTCTTCATAGCATTGTACCCTTATTAACATTAAATAAAAAAAGAAAGAAATATAGATCAACTTACAACAAAGATTATTAACAATGTTTTATAGTCTGTAACAGAAAAGGCTTAAAGTGCATCAATCTGCCTGAAATAAAAAAAATATATATCCTTATTTTAAACTGGAAACATTTTTGATCAGTTGATACTGAACAATCAAATTAAATATAATCAATAAATAATAATAAATTCAAATTGTTCAGCAACATTTTAAGTCAGGAGTGTTATATGAAACACTTTGACCCACAAAACAAAAATGAATAAAACAATTTGTGCTGATTTTTTAAAATCAAAATGAGGAAGTCAGGATCAATGGCTACAATGAGCACGTTTTACAGTGCACGTCTTTTTGAAGCGCAGTTTGAAACATGATCCTGCAGCTCTCAGCTCCTGCTCAATGTTTACCTGGACCTGGACCTGGACCTGGACCTGGACCTGGATCTGGACCTGGACCTGGACCTGGACCTGGTCTTCAGAGCAGCAGAGAAGTCGCAGAGAGCGCAAGAGTGAGCGAGCGTGTTCGGGGGTCCAGTGGAACATGCTCACGAGAAGAACCTGACAAGTTGTTT